CCCCAGCACGAGGGACCCCCAGGCACCGACGCACGGCACGGGCACGAGTCAGGGGTTTATTTATTTGGGGACAGGTTCACTTTTTAAAGCCTTTTGTAGCTCACTTTTTACTCCGAGCCTCTCCGAGGCCGCACTCACGTGGATATTTGGGGCGGAAAGACACGTTTTTCGGGGTGGAAAGTCGCATTTCTGCTCTGTGATCACTGAAAATGCTGCGTTTTTAATTCACACTTTTGGCCCTGGCGGGTGCTGTGACCCCCCCACCCCCGTGTCTCCGTCATCCTGCCCGGGGACAGCCCCCCAGGATCCTTTTGGGTTTTCCTTCACCTTTCCAGAGATTAAACCTGGTTTGTTCCACCCTAAACACGAGCCTTTTAAGTGCCTCTTTACCTTAGAAGTGCCTTTTCCTGGTGTCACGGGAGCCGTGCCAATGTCCCCGGGGACTGGCGTGGTTGGTGGCCCCTGCGGGCACCAGGGAGGGCCTGGAACAAAAGGAGCTCCTCCCTGGAAACGCTGAGATCCATCACTGGCAACCACGGCCTGCTAAGGTAAATATTTAATCGCCGGCTTGGCGCGGCGCGAGGCCCGTTCCCGGCTCTTCCGCATTGCTCCCAACGGTGATTTATCTCCGCAAACACGTCCCCACCCCTGGCACTGCCCTGGCACTGCCCCGGCACGTGGGGCCCCCGAGGCTCTCACCCCCTGCCCGGCCCACGCTGTCCCCCGTGGCGGCAGCAGGGCCTTGGGGGCTGGATGATCCTTTCCCAGCCCAGGGATGAGCTGGGAGCGCTGGAGCCACGCGGGGTGGTCGTTCCTGGGGGGTGCTGGGTGTCCTCCTGCCTCTGCTGGGGGAGAGGGGCTGTGCTGAGAGGGGCCAGCTGAGGCTCTGTGCTCCCAGAACTCCTCGAACCCAGGTCTGTCCCAGACTCTGCCGGGCTGGAGCAGGGCAGGAGCTGGTGGGAAAAAGCCCTTTTCATCCCGTGCTTGGCTGAGGGGCTGCAGAATCCATGGACAAGGAAGGTGGTGGAGCTGTTGCCCGGGGAAGGTGGGGGCAGCACCCATGATCCATCCCTGTGGCTGGATCTGTCCCTGTAGCTGAATCCATCCCTAAAGGTGGATCTATCCCTAAACCTGGATCCATCCCTATGGCTGGATCTATCCCTGCAGCTGGGTCCATTCCTGAGCTTGGGCCCATCCCCATGGTTGGATCCAACCCCGTGTGCGGGTTTGCCCCGAGCCTGGATCCATCCCTGAGCCTGGATCCATCCCCATGCCTGGATCCATCCCCATGCCTGGATCCATCCCTGAGCCTGGATCCATCCCTGAGCCTGGATCCAACCATGCAGCTGGATCAATCCTTGAGCCTGGGCCCATCCCCACGGCTGGATCCATCCCTGAGCCTGGATGCATCCCTATGCCTGGATCCATCCCTGCCTCCCGGCCATCCCGTTGTCACTGGGGGCTGTTGCTCTGTCTCCTCACGGTGGGCTCTCACTGCCCACCTGGACAGTGCCCACCGTGTCCGGCAGCTCCAGCCAGAGCTCGGGGGGTGTCCGGCTCCGTCCTCCG